GAGACTCCAATAGCAATAAACACACCTGGTGCCCAGTTCTTGGTTTGCAACACCATTTTCCGATAAAAAGAACCAGGGTTCACTGAAGAGACAACTGATTCTAGGACTGAGGCAGGAAATACACAAGATTAGCATGGAGTATCTTGTAAGTATCCAAAAGTAAGAAAGACGAAAGAAGGAAGGAAGGAAGGAAAGAAGGAAGGGAGGGAGGGAGGGAGGGAGAGATGGAGGCAGGGAAGCAGGAAGGAAAAAAGAATGCTTACAATGATAGAAGTATCCCCCCACCCCCACCCCCGTAGGGTGCTGGAAGACCCAACAACTGCACACCCAGGCACCAACAGGTCTCTGCTCTTCGGGATTCACCACCAGTTGCCCTGCTGCTGCCTCCACCTGGGGGAAGGCAGGTGCATGGTCCCAGAAATTCCTTACTGAGGGCCTGGTCAGCGCATCCCGAAGCAGAAAGGCAATGATGACAGGTGGATTAGTCAGTTCCCAGGATTTGGAAACCACAACTCCAGCCTACAGTAAGAATCTGTCTCCCAGGCAGAAGGGTAAGTCCAGACACCTAGTTCCCCTAAGCCGACCCATCCACCTTGTGAGGTTCCCAGCCAAAGCTGGCTATGGGAGCCTGAGTGTGCACAAGAAGAGAAAGAGGAGCCCGCCCTGAGCATCACCAAAGTGCCTGATGCCTCAGGTGACAGGAGGCAGTACGTCCCATGCAGAGGCTGCCCCCTCACCCAGGAGCCTGGGCCCAGCCTGCTCTGGAGGGGCCGAGAACCAGGGGGCCATCAAAAGCATCAGGACTTGGCATTGGCACCAGACGAGCTTATTAAAGCAAGTATAGTAGTTGTTTGCCATTTCTTGCACTCAAACCTGTGTAATACATGCTCCTGGAAACCAACCAAAAAAATAAAAAGAAAAAAGAAAAGAAAAGAAGTATGCTAAAGGAGAACAGCAGCCAACCAATGATCAAAGCTGAAACAATTTGAGCAGCAAAATAAAATAATATTGAGACATAACCCAAAGTATAAAATAAATACTGCATCCATGAGTCTATTCTCATGTAAATAAATGATTGAATAAATAAATAAATGGGTGAGAAGAAACAAATCTTCCATGCAAAAAATTTTAAATAATTTAAGTAGATACTCTGCCCTCGAAGAGATAGAGCATAATTCTTCACTCCTTAAGTGTAGGCTGCACATAATGACTTCCTTTCAAAGTGTACAGTAAAGAATGGTGGGGGTTGCGGGTGGGCTGGGGGGGAGATAAATTTATAGTAGAGAAACCTTAAAAGCTCTACCTCAGCCAGATGATCAAGGGCAACATCCATAGACAAAAATCATGATGATACATATAGCCTGAATGTGATGCGATAAAAATGCCGTGTTACATCTGATCTTCCTCCAAAATACCCATAACCCTCATCTGATCTTGAGAAAACATCAGACAAATTCCAACAGAGGGGCATCATTTAGTGTGCTTGAGCAGTCCTCAAAACTCTCACGGTTATAAAAATCACAGAAAGTCTGAGAAATGTGGACAGCCAAGAGGAGCCTCTAGAGATGTGACAACTAAATGTGATGTGGCATCCGGGATGAGATTTTGGAGCACAAAAAAGCCATTAGGCAAAAACTGAGAAAATATAAATAAAGTATAAACTTTAATTAATAATAATATATTAATATTTGTTAATTAATTATTAAAAATCTATTATACTAATATAAGATGTTAATAATAGGGAAAACCGTGTAGAAGTATATGGGAACTGCATATGACTGTCTCAATTTTTCTGTAAATCTAAAACTATCCTTAAAAATTAAGTTTATTTAAAAACAAACAAGACAAGAAAATCTAAAAGCTATACAAATATAATTTTTTATAAATTATAGAGACTCTTATAACCACTCAGGGAGACATGGGAGTTATTAGTATCCCTATTTAACTG